TTTCCGTCTGAACTGTCCCTGCATTGTGAGAGTCTCAACTCTTTCCTTGTCCCATCTCCTAATGTACACGTGACTATCCTTGTTCTAATAGACAGGACAGAGTGCGTGGATCATCCAAAGGTATAGACTGTCCAAACAGATCACTGGTTTCCAAAAATATCATATAGATTGTCATCCAATTAGATAATTCACTCACTGCTGAGAAAACAGAATTCTTTTGTAAATGGCAGTCCAAATTTGGAAACCACAGCTGCTTTTAACAATTGAGTCATTGCCTTTCAGGTGCCAAAAATATCACCTATCATATTCTCCAGGGTTCAAAGTAAAAGGAAAGAGAAAAAAGGCAAAGAGCAAATGGAGAATAAAGGTAGCATGAAACATTTCTAGTCACAGAAATTATTATTAAAAATATCTATAGTAACTAACAATAATAGCAATAATAGCAATAGTCACTAGCATTCAACAGGAATTAATGACCTTCATGTGACCTTCTTAATCTCCTTAAAGAAGAGGGAGCATAGAATTCTTAGCATCTTCGTTTTACAGGTGAAGAAGTCAACCATGGATATCAAATGACTGGCCACATAGCTACACCCAAGTTCCAGCCCAGTCATTCAGTCTTGAAAATCCTGTGCTCTCCTACTCAAACCTCACCATAGACTTATCAAATGACTCCTACCTGATGTTACTTTAGTGAGAAATCTGCCCACCACCATTTTTTCCACCACTATGACACAAAAGATGTTGGGCCTTAGTTCTCTTAATTTGCACTAATAGAGAAGAAACAAAGATTTTGCTCTCAGTGTGGGGGTGGGGTTTCAGTTATATAGTCACTGAATCCTTACTTAGTCTAACTCTGAGCTGCACTCGTACATGTGCAAGGAAGACACCGGGGCACTCTGCCCCACTCTCAACTTTAGACTCCCATATTTTCGGAAACCCTTTCTTAGTGTGAAGTTATCATAAAGAGCCAAAGCAATTTTTCAACAGTCTCTGCTCTGGTGCCAGCTCTCCTCTCGCCAGCGCAGGCAAATGTGGGGTCTTGTGAAAGAGCAGGCGCTGACAAGTAGTCCAGGCTGTGTGACAGCCAACGGAAAACCTACCAAGTAAGGAAAATCTCAGACTCTGCGATCCAGCAACATGTCTGGCAGATATTCATTTAAGGAAACATCCTTTGAAAGAGACAATTGGGCAAAGAAAAGTAGTTAGGGAAATGACTTAAGGCCCCCTACATGAAACAGGGAGAGTGGAACAGTGGCACATATTTTTCAAAAATCACTACAGAAATATTTCTGGATTTTCTAGAATCTTGCCACTTTCTCAGCAAAATGTCTTTATTTCTTCTGTCTTTCAACTTCCATGGGTCTTAGTGACTGCTTCAATGACTAGAATATAGCTGAAGTGATGGCTTGTGACTTCTGAGGGCGATTTAGGAAAGATGATACAGTTTCTACCAGGCTCTCCACGTCTGATTTTAGAGACTTGTGAGAAAGTGCGGGATTCACAGAGAAGTCACATGCAGGTATTCTGGTTCTCAGACCCAACCAAGGTGCAAACTGATAGCTGGCATCACTACCGCCTAGTTGAGTCAAAAGCCTTCTAATAACCCTATATGACACTCTTAGATCCACCCGGTCATTAAGTCCTCCAGCTGATAGTTATAGCCACTTGGAGCAGATAAACTGTCCCCTCTCTGCCCTGTGTGAATTGCTGGGTCATATACTCCATCACATAAGAAGTGCTGACGTATGCCATAAAGCTTTGGAGTAACTGGTTGCACAGCAATCGAAAACCAGAATAGGAGCCATGGCTTGAAAGGAATGTTCTGTTTGAAAGCTGCTGGAAATGTTCTGTTTGAAATGGTCAAAAAGTGACTCCTGGTCCTGCTGCTAAGTGTAATCCTCCCTTCCAAGAGTCTTTTACTCACAGGTCGTTTCTCTTAGGGGTTCCACTATTCCTTCCTGAAGTGGGAGGCCACTCCAAGGGCATGGGACATACTTTAAAAGGTCTGAATAGCATTGTCCATAGCATTTTGGCCCCTTTCCTTACATTTCTGGGGCCCTTCTATAAATCAAGAAACAAGCTTTGTTCCTACTTCAGAGTTTGAATGCTCAGCACGGACTAGACAGTGGTGGAGAGCAATGGGAGGTAAAGAAAGAACACCTTGGCCTTTGTTCTAACCTAGAGTCACCTGCTAGAAACAACCAATAACACAAATATAGTTAGAACCTCCACACTTGGTACAATCCTACTAATGAAAATTCTTTGATAAGGCCCAAAACTCAAAGAGCCCCAAAGGAAGAGATCTGACTATTTTGTACACTGTTGTAATGCAAACACTTAGAAGAGTGCCTAAAATGTAAGTTCTCTACATATTTACTGTATAAAAGCATGAACTTACTAAGCACTTGAGTAAAAGAAAACTCTTTTTTCTAGAAAGCAACACAATATTAAATTAGCACAGTGAGCTTAGAAAATTATAATACTCAACAGGTTGATTCTGTGTTTGTTTTCGAGACAGGGTGTCATTAAGTAGCTAAAGCTGGCTTCCTACTCAAGATCTTGATGCTGAGTTATAGACATGCGCTGCCATAACCCCATCACCAGCAATGGGCTGATATTCTACTGCATTATGCAATGTTTCAACCTCTTCAAAATGCTAAGTTCCTTGAGGCCACATCTTACCCCACTTTGTATCTTCTGCATCTGGCATTTTGCCTGGCACTTGCAATACTTTTGTCAAGCAAACTAGCAGAAATATTTCAAAACAATGGTTTTTCTTACCTAGTGGAAGACAGTGATGGGAAAAGTTACTACTGGCCAGTGCACCTGGTCCCAGAGGGGGGATAACATTGGGATGCAGAAGTCTAGGAATTCTAAGAGTTCTTAGCCTCTAAAACTCCCTGAGAACTAAGTGGCTATTTGTCATCTGAGTATGACATTGGTATGAATAAATAAAAAGGTACAGACTTCCACTTTACTTCTTAATATTGTTTTCCTATGGTGGCTTCAAATAGGATTTCCTTTGAGAACTAGTTTTATTCATTGGCCCACTTAGTCATTAATCCCACATTTCTTGAGAGTCTACTTGTTGAGATTTGTTCTATCTGCTCAAAAGACAGCACTCTGAGTAGCCACAACATTCATATTCCTGGAAAAAAAACCTGACTAGACAACAGAAGAGGTGGTATTTTGAGGTGGTCCATGGAAATTACATACCTAAGATCTTCATAAATCAAAATGAACTCATTTGGTGTATCGCAAAATGTGATCTTACAACCATCTACTACACAGATTCACTAGACAGATGAAGATAAAGAATAGAGCTCTCCTGGATCTACTCCAGGCATACTAAGTCAGAGCATCAGGAATGAGGCTGGACACCTAATGTGCATGATTGCCGATTTTGATTGGAACATTTACTCAAGGTATCTTGCTGGAAAGACCTATATGCAATTGCTTAATATGGTATGCCTTCCTCTTCCTCTTTCCAACACTCAGATCTTATATGGCTGATTCTAAGATACCAAGGAACAGTGTAAATATGGCTCAGGATCATCAGTGCTCAAGACCAGAAGGTCAATGAATGCATGTAATCACTCTCTCCTTAAACTAGCCCTAAATTAACACCCAGGAAAGGAAAAAAAAAAAAAAATGTCATTCCCTTACTAAACTGTATTTAAAAACAACTGTTAAAATATTTGTTATTGGGGACTTGAGAGATTCTCAGTGATGAAGAGCACCACCTGCTCTTGCAGAGGATCTGGGTTAGATTCCCAACACATATATGGTGGCTTACGACCATCCATAACTCCAGTTCCAGGGGATCCGATGCCCTCTTCTGACCTCCACAGGCATTGCACAATATGGGAACACTTAATACATGGAGGCAATGTACTCATACACATAAAATAAAAGTAATAAATAAAATATTAACATATTTGTTATTAAAATATAAAAGCCTTTTATCAAAAACTTATTTTTGAATGTAAGGCAGAGATGGAAGGATAAAGGAAACAAATCTTTAAAAATTTTTGATATGCTTCCCATGTAGTCTTTATTTTTAAATTTTCCTTGTTTTAATTAACATATAATAATTATACATAGTCATAGGCTGCTGTGTGATATTTCAACATGCATGTACTGATCAGGTAAGGGCAGCTGACATGTTCATCTCTTCATCATTTCTTTATGTTTGGAGCCTTTGAATTCTCTTCTGGTTCTTGATAACGTATATGACTAGCTGCCCAGACATGCTGTAGAACATTTGAATTTATTTCTGCACTTAACTGTGTTGTGGTACTCATTATCCAACTTCTCAATCCTGCTTCCTCTCCCCTCTTGCTAGCCTCTAATAGTTACTATTCTGTTCTTACATAGGAAGAGGAACATGCAGGATTTGTCTTTCTGAGTCTGGTTTACTCCATTTAACACAATGACCTCCAGTTCTATCCATTTTTATGCAAATAACAGGAATTCAATATTTTCTATGGCTGAATATCCCATTGTGTAAGGGATGTCACACCATTTCTTCCTTCATCCATTGATGGGCACATAGGTTGATTGCATACCTTGGTTATTCTCAATAGTGATGCCATAAACATGGGAGTGCAGGTAAGTCTTTGATATGATGATCTGGTTTCCTTTGCATCACTGGATCACATGATAGTTATAGTTCTTTATTTTGAGGAACCTTTACACTATCCTCTATAATGATTATACTATTTCCATTTCTACTAACAGTGGGCAAAATTTCCATATCCTTACCAGCATTTGTTTAAACAGTTTGTAAATCTTGACATGACACATACAAACACTTCTAAATTTGAAAAGCAATAATAATCCACAATCATCAATTGTGAGAGGGAGCTGCTGAGCATGTCCATCTGGACTCTTTCCTACTCTGGTTCCCACAGTGCTGAATTCCAGTTGAGACCCTGTGACCTTTCCCTTGTCTCACTCCCAAATACATTCTTTTTCTTTGGCAGAATTTTACTCACTTTCTGAATTTTCCTAATCTGGTCAGAGAGTGTATCTAACAGGCGAGTTTTCAGGAAGTCCATCACCTTGATCACTCGGCCATCAATGTAGCAACTGGAATAAAAATAAAAACTGAATCAGATACAATCTTGAACCGGGGACTATTCACAAACCTCTCTAAGCAGAAGCCTCTGTTTCTTGAGGAAATAACTCAGGATTTTGCCCGGTTTACTCCTCCTGAAAGGTTTTGACTCTGGAGACTTTTCAAGCAAATAATATACTTTGTGTCTTCTCCATTTTCACTTCCATTTGTGGGCTACTGCAATGGATTTCAACCTTGCTCAGGTGAAATCCCACTGCTTGCTCTCTGGGAATCGACACAAATTCCATAATCTAAATTGAACAATGGGGAAAAACTTACTTTTTATTCTTGGGAAAGTGACTTAGCCTTCATCTCATGTCTGTCCCTATTTTTACCTTAAAATAATAAAGGCATGGGAGACTTTCAAAGGAATACTCAAAGGTTTTGTTAGGTTTCTAAACCTTTAAATAAGAAAGTAAACATCAAGAGTAAAGTTCTGATCCAGCGTAGCTAGAGGGGCTCAAATGCTTCCATAATCTAGCTCACATCCCTGGCAAAATTCCTTAATTCTTCTCTGTCTCTGGGATAAATGAATGAGTGAAGAAAGGAACAAACAAATGCAAATAGCACACAAATCAGTCCCAAAGCCTGCTCCTGAAATAATGAAGCTGTGTTCATTTGTTTTGCTTTGGGTCCGGTTTTCATTAGTAGCTTAAGGGAATCATCAAGTTGTGCTGACAACTATGTTGTGAGTATTTGATCAGAACACACCCATCCAGCTTTATGTGGTCCTCTTTTGTGAGCCACTTATTCTGAAGACTAAGCAGAGACTGCCTCGTGGTTAGGTGACCTTCAGTACCTTAAGCCTCCCTTGGCTCCTGCCTTTGCAAAATTTAGAACTAAATAAATTCCTAAATGCTTATGATTCCTGGGTGTCTAGTGTAACCCACTAAAGCCTCCTTGGTTGATAGCTAATGATAGATTTTCTTTCATTTGAAATAAAATATTCACCCATCAGTGCATATTATAGAACTATGTGAAAATTCTTTTTAATGCTAAATCCCCATACCAACATGTGATGTATTGGAATGGTTAGAGTTTAAAACCTTTTTATTGTAAACAGGTGCTCTAGTTGAAGTGAGGAGAGGAGACAGGCCCTACAGAGTCAACCTCCCATTGGTCTCTTACCACCTCAAGACATTTCTAAAGAATCCAATGTTTAAATGACTGATATGTTGAAAAAAAGTATGGTTTTAGAGTCAGAGACACCTGAGTTAAAATTCCTGATTTGGTGTTTGTTATTTATATAATCTCAGACATTTACCTGACTTTTATGGACCTCCAGTTTTCCTATATTTAAAAAGTTCTTTTTAATCTACCTATCAATGTATCTATCATATATGTGTATATGTTTTGTTTGTCTTTTTGTTTTGCGACAAGGTGTTATTTTGTAGTCTATGACTCATTATATAGCTCAGGCTGGCCTTAAATTTGTGGCAATTTTCCTGTTTCAGCCTCCCAAGTGCTAGGATTACAGATATGCATTACCATGCCCAATAGTTTTCTTATTCTTTTTAAAAAAAGATTTATTTTTTAAAAATATGTTTTTTTTTTTTTTTTTTTTTTTTTTTTTGTGTGTGTGTGTGTGTGTGTGTGTGTGTGTATGTGCTTATGTGTGCAGATGCCTGCAGAGTCCAGAGGTGTTGGATCCCCTGAAGCTGGATTACCTACCGGCAGTTGTGAGATGACTGCTGTGGTGCTAGGAACTGAACTTGGTCCTCTGGAACAGAAGTATGCTTACTTAACTGTTAGGCTACCTCTCCAGGCCCAGTTTTCTCATTTTTAAAAGAGGAGTGTCAGCTAGGTGTGGTGGCATACGCCTTTAATCCCAGCACTCGGGAGGCAGAGGAGGGCGGATCTCTGTGAGTTCAAGGCCAGCCTGGTCTACATAGTGAGTTCTAAGACAGCTGGAGCTACAGGGAGACCCTGTCTCAAAAAGAGGAGTGTCATAGTTGGGGTTAATTTCAAATTAAGGTGATAATGAGCCTTAGATGCCTTGGACAGTAGACACAAAGAAATGTTTGGTTATTTTCTAACTTTTCTAAGCTTCAGTTCAGGAATATGTGGTTATAAACAATAAGGGACTGATTGGTGAAATTATGTATGAGCACAGAATCCTTAAAAGTAGAAATGCTGTCAGAGGGTATGTATTTTATAGTTTTTTATGGTTACTGATATTCGGGAATAAAACAATGATGTGGCATTTCACCTCATCTCTGGTTCAAATGCTAAACTCAGGTTCAATAAATGTTTAATATGTATAACATGTAGCATCAGATATGTCCATTGCCTGAATATCCCTCATAATCTCATCTTGCTAGTATTTCATTATTTTCACTTCTTGTTTTTAAAATTAAATGGAGCTAGATGGTGAATTACATGAAAAGTAGGCAATGGAGAAGGATAGTTAAAATTAAAATGAATTTGTGCAATGTTAACCTATGACACAACTGAAGACATGAATTACATTGGTGACAAGGCATATGACAATCAATGAACTGTAATTATTCTCCTATTAGCCAAGCAAACATATTATAGTTTCCTTTTTCTCTATATTTGTTTCCCCAAAGCTATATTAACAAACGGTGTTTATTATTTTTTGCTGGCACATATCATTAAACACATATAGTTTAATTTTTATTAAGATGAAGATCCCAGATATAATTTTTTAGTATGTAGGATTCTCTGTGAACATTCCAACTAACCCATCCAATCTATGCCACTGTGTAGGATGGGCTAACAAATTTAAGCTTGGGGTGAGATGGTCCAGTGGGTAAAGATGCTTGCCACCATGTCTGATGTCCTGAGTTTGATCCATGGGACCCAGCTGGTGGAAGGAGAGAACCAATTCCTAAAAGTTCTCCTCTAACTTTCATGTATGTGGGGGGCACCCGCATAAACACAAAATAAACAAATAAATAGATATGCAATAAAAATAAAAATTCTGGCTTGTAGTATTTTCACAGGGTTTTTTATACTGATAAAATGAAGGCAAATACTGACCACACCTAAAAGGTATTCAATAACCAAATCTAATCTCTCAGTTTACTTAAAGGCTGAAAGGTACCAAGAAACTTGACCAAAAGGCCAAGGTTGACCAAAAGGTTGGGGTTGCCAGGGGAGTCTCTTTCCAGAGGAGAGCACACTCACCCACTGTAAGCTCTAAAGGAGGGAATTATAAAGCAACAAAACCAGACTGGATTCCTTGCAGATGGGAGACAAAGAGAAGTCTGCTCCGTACTATGTCTATTTGGTGAATGGCATTCTATTTCTCTGGACCCCAAAGTAGTCCAATTCCTCCTTATATGACACAATCCGACAGAAACTTTTACCTTAGGGTTTTTAGAGCCTATACTTGACCCCATTTCAAACCTAGCAAGCTGAATTTGATTATTCTCAGCTGTTCTTTGGCTATTCCTGAAGACTGAATTTGGATTGAGCAGGAAGAACTATAGTCAGAGGAACCAATGGACAAAGTTACCTCAAGAGGACAGGCAAGAGGTGATCTGGGCCTAAATAAGAGAAGGCATACAAGAAGTCAAAGTGAGAGACTGTGAGGAAAGAACTCCATAGAGAGCGACCCTAAGGACAGCATGAATGATGACCATCAACTTAAGAGAGACAATGTTTTGGAGAACATTGGTGCCAAAGACATTTCTGCATTCAGAGTTGGGGTACAGATTGTCAAGGGAGATGGAGGATTTGGCTTGAGATATCAAATATACACAGAATGTCAAGGAGGAAATATACACCAGTTAGAGAGAGGACAAAAGTTGAAATGAGCAATGTTGACCTTGGGCTCTTCTTCAGCTTATAACTAATAGATATAAGGGCTATAGAGGAGGCTGCTAAGCAAATAAGGGAAGGTCACAGAGATGTCAGAGACTCTTTAAAATGCTTCTCAAATATGGCCCTGGGCATTGTCTGCACCTTTGACCCAGCCAAGGATCTCTTCCTCCCTTGGCTTAAGCACCACAGCATCTTTCTAATAACCTCAGTCGGAGTCCAATTTATATTTGGATATCAAAGGAATCCTCACATTAAACTAAGAAGTCTCAGCAACTTTCATTCACAACTTAAACTCACTTTTATATTGTACTATTTAAAAAGAAACTTTGGTTGCTAGAATTTGGAATCATTTTTAAGAGAGGGGATCAATTGTTTATAGAGCACGATCTGATAAATCCTGAAGCTTCCTTTTTTTTAGACAGGGTTTTGCTCTAATCTATCTTGCCTGGAACAACTCACTATGCAGCACAAGCTGGACTCAACTCAGGAACTGTCCTCTTACCTCGGCCTCCTGAGTGCTAGGATTACAGACTTGAGCATCATGCCCATTAGGTCACATTCCTGACTATCTTGGGCAACTAGCTTGCTGCACTTATCCTTCATAAATGTGAAGTGGCTAAGAAAACATTTGATATTAACATGTGTTTATTTGAGAAATTCCTGCCTGTTAGAGAGTTTTGGTCTCATAGTACCTTTTCATAGTGATGGGCCCAGTTTATCATAGACATTTGGGTATGAGGGAAGTGAAGCAGTCTGTGGTCACCATTTAGTAATAATGAATCGCTAATCATGACAATTATAGTGGTTTATTTATTTATTATCTATTTGTGATGCTAGTGTTGAATCCCCCCAGTTCCAATGATAACAAAGACTGGGTAAAAGGAGGCAAGGTTAGATTACAGCCAATTTGTACAGCAATCTGGGGCAACTTTCTGCTTTTCTGTCTTTTACTCTGGGAAGATAAAGATGATTCTTAGCTACTCACCAGTCACCATAAGAGTTAATAAACGTAGTTAATGTTGCAGAGGATTCTGAGGACAAATAATCAAAATGAAAGGAACTGGGGAGTGGGAGTCCAAAGAAATTCTTCAATTCAAGGTGCTCTAGCAACTTCTCCATAAATCCTGGCAGGATAACTTTAGAATTACCTAGACTAAAACTAGGTAAATCTTAGTCCTCCTTC